CTTCTTGGTGGGGAGGGATGGAGTGAAGCGAGGGGAAAGAAATTCATCCTGGGTGCTGACTGAGGGTTTATTTCTTTCAAGATCCCACAAGGAGACAGAGAACGAGCAGCGAGCATTGGTCTGATGTTCCCTGCCTGTCCTCCTCCTCTCCTCCTCTGCCTCCTCAAGTTTCCCGACATTCCCCCAAGCCTGTTCCTGACTCTCGGGACTTTTGCAGAAACCCACAATCAGACCAACTGATCTTTGTGTTTCTCACTTTTCTGTCTTCCCTCTAGATTTTCTGGAGTTCGAGCTTCCCTTGACAAGTAAGTGAACTGAACGTGTGCCCAACAAAGTCATAATATGAAATGAAAAATATGGTAAAAATCTCTGCTTCCCCCAAAGATTGACCTAGAGTGCTCTGCTGCCTCCTTTCCCCCTTCTCCCATTCTGGTCCCACCACCAGGCGATGCCTGGAGGGATCTCAACCATGTCAGAGGTGTTGGGAGGTTTCCTCCCAAATCTGCTGCCATGAGCCTGACTCTCTCTCCACCTCCAGCACAGATGACGCTGGACCCACAGACGGCCCACGCCAGGCTTTATCTCTCGGAGGACTGCAAGCTTGTGCGGTGGGATTGCTGTGAGCAGGACCTGCCCTACAACCCATGGAGGTTCAAAGTCAAGCAGTGTGTGCTGGGCTCGAGGGGCTTCACATCGGGGTGGCACCGCTGGGACGTGGAGGTGCACGGAAAAGGCTATTGGGGTATCGGGGTGGCCAAGGAGTCAGTTCCAAGGGACCGTTCCTTTGTCCTGAAGCCCAAAGAGGGGATATGGGCTCTGTGTCATATTGGAAACTACTACACAGCTCTGACCTCTCCTGATGCCACCCCCTTGACCCTACGCAGTGTCCCCAAGCGGATACGAATCTGCTTGGACTATGAGAAAGGGAGGGTGCTGTTTTTTGATGCCGAGAGCAAAGAACAGATCTTTGCTTTTCCACCAGCATCTTTCCAAGGGCAGAGAGTCTTCCCGTGGTTCATGGTGGACGACGATGCTCAACTCAAACTTCTTCTGTAATGCACAGCACAAAAAAACTCCAAAAAACCCGCAAAGCCACCAAGTTACCCTTGGGAAAGAAACCAGGAGCTGGGTTTTGTCCCAATCCCACCAAAGGGACAGGAAAGGGGAGCGGTGTTCAGGTTCCTTTCCTTCTGTGCAAAGTGGGAGCATTTCTGTGCCTTCAACTCTATTTTGATCTTTTAATCGCTGTTTAATCACTAAGTGCTTGTTACATAATGGCTGCAAACTTGCCCTGATTAGGAGTTAAACATAAAAGTTCAATTCTAAACCATTTCTGCCTTGTGTGTGTGGGATTTTTATTTCCTCTGGGGTTTTCCTTGGAAGTTGCTTAAGAGAAGTGGAGGAAGGGAAAGTCATCCTGGTTCCTCTCCAAAACCCACTGCACAGGGAGATGAGACCCAGGGGGCCAGGTGAAGGTCCATCAAGTCCTTCTCTTTTCCCGAGATGTCCCTGTTTGGGCAAGTGGTTAAGAGCAGGGTGAGGATGCCTATGGCCCCAGGAGCCCTCTTTTCCCAGCTTCAGTGGGTAATTAACCACTTAACAGGGTGTTAATGAGGGGCACTGGAGGGATCTGATATTTGGCTCTGCCCTCTCTCTAACTCCCTTAGGCCCTGGCAGTGTTTTGATCCTTCTCCTTTCCAGGCTGCATCATCCCAGTCTTTCCCCATCCATCCTGGGCTTGAGTTTGGTGCCCTCATCCTCTTTGTCCCCCCACCACCATACTGGGAAGCCCCAAACTGGTCCCTGTACCCAGATATTGGCCTCACCTGTGCTGCTGGAGGGGAACAACCCCATATGGAGCTGATATCACAGGAGGGTTTGGGTTGGAAGGGACCTTACAGATCATCCAGTCCCACCCCCTTGCCACAGGCAGGGACACCTCCTACCAAACCAGGTTGCTCCAAGCCCTGTCCAACCTGGTGTTGAACATCTCCAGGGATGGGGCGTCTCCAGCTTCTCTGGGCAACCTCTTGCATTGTCTCAGCCCCCTGGAAGGTGCAGAAGGCTCAGAAGGTGGAGAAGCCCCTGGCAGTTGAAGCCCCTGGTAGTTGGAGGAGCTCTGGGAAGGGGGAGAAGACCCAGAAGGTGGAGTAGCCCCTGGTAGTTGGAGAAGCCCTGGAAGGTGGAGAAGCCCCAGGAAGGTGCTCCCATCACTGACTCATGGACAACTTGTCCCCTCCCTCCAAGATCCCAAACGTCCTCTTCCCTGGCTGGTCCTGGTCCAGGAGGGTTTCCACCCTGAGTTCCATGAGCTTTGCCCCCAAAGCCCCACCTCAGCCTTACCCAGGAGGCTCCAGACCATCCTGGTCCCTCTGAAGAGCCGTCCCACCCTCCTCCAGCCTCTTTATCTGCTCACTCACATCTGGTGGGACCAAAAGGGGTAGGAAGACAGAGGCAGAAGGAACCATCGCACGCATTTGTCCTCTTCTCAGTCCTCTCCTTGCAGAGCGGGCCGGGAGTTGTTTTCCCCACCATTTTCAGTCAGGTGGAGGAAGGTCCTCCTCTTCTTCCCCACAAAGCCAAGCTCCTTTGAGGTGGGTTGGGAAGAGCCATGGCTACCTGGAGCCCCACAGAAAGCCTGCAGAGTGAAGCCTCCTGCTCCATCTGCCTGGGCTTCTTCCAAGACCCTGTCTCCATCCACTGCAGCCACAACTTCTGCCGGGGGTGCATCGCCCGCTGCTGGGAAGGGCTGGAGGCCCCTTTCTCCTGCCCCCAGTGCCGGCAGACAGCCCCACAGAAGAGTTTCTGTCCCATCAGAGAGTTGGCCAAAATTGCCAGAATCGCCAGGCGGCTCAGCCTGGCGGCAGGAGGAAG